GGGTCAGTAACAAATTTTATGTTAGACTATACTTTAGACCATCAGTATAACATAAGGCAAACGATTGTTTATCCCAGAGCCATCGGACTAAAAAAGGGACAAACCAGGTGTTTATAAGATGACGTGTCAGCATCGCCCGAGGTTCTATACCGAAGAAAGTGGTATGAGTTAAACATATCACAACTATAGACATAAACAAATAGAACATATCACATATTTCAACACTGGACTGCCAACAATAACTGTACAACAACTCTGGACGACACTTGACACAAGATCAGCTAGCACCTACAACACAGAGGCACTAGCAGAGGCAGAAGAACAACAAACACTCAACAGGAATGGAGACCAGCATAAACCATGGATGGCTCGATCATTTGAGAACATAAAGTGTTGCCGGCTGGAATAAGTTGCCAAGCGATTAAATTAGCGTGATCTGATATTTTCTTACCGCAAAGCTTTCGCAATGTTTGTCACTGTTGTTACCATACATCATGTCCCGTAGTGTAAGTGCTTTGTGCCAACTACCTAACGACCGGCCCGATACGGGGTCGAAACCGGTTGTGTAAACGTACCTATCTTGGCTTGCCTCTGTTACATGAAAACTCATTTAATCCATAAAATGGACAGTGGTCTCAGGGACAAAGCTCTGCTGCGGCTGCACTCTCGCACATGTCAGCACCCTTTCTACAGCCTTTCTTCGGCAGGCGTCTGGTAGTGGTGGATCTTTCGGGGAAATGATGGCAACGATATTTGTTTTGCTCACTAGTATTCTTTACATCTAGGGTTCATTCCCGGGAAACGACTGAAGCCAACAGGGCTATTCTTGCCCTGAGTCATAGTCAGGGATGAAATTTTAAATTCATATTGGTTTCTATCGACGACGAAATTCGCTTCAGAGCATTTTGAACCGTAGCATAGTCATAACGCAAGTTCTGGTTCTTATTGATTACGTTTACCGCTCGGCTGAATTCAATGCACGCATTCAGTCCAGTCCAATCTGATGCTGGTCGCTTCTCACAAGTTTGAAATCCGATCCAGTGGAATTCGTCGCCCATGTGACCCATCGAATTCCAGATCACTCCCAAAAACTATTTTTCCGCATGCGTCATTTTATATATTGTCCAGCAAACGATGGGGACTGCACTGATTACAGTTTCATGAAAGAGTACGACTATGCGAACGCCTTGTTTTGTTTTTAACATTATATTCATGTTACCAATAACGTTTTTATTGATAACATGCGTCGACTTTAGCTTTAACTAAGCGATAGACCCAATGAATGCCTAGCGCGCTGTGAGGCTCATCGCGATGGCGAGTTGCTGCGCGACTTTTATGGCAACGCCTTGGCGCCGGCCTCGGAGATGCACATGGGCCAATATGTGTACTGTACCGCATTACTTGGAGTTGAAAGACTGCAAATTTAACAAAGCAATTTCCTCTTCATTATAGCAAGATGTATTTAGAAATTCAGCAATGCCACGGTTCTTGCTCACGCGATCGGTTTTAACACTGCGAATCTAAGAGCACACACGACCATGCGACCATCACACTCCGCTGTTTGCGTCTCTCTCCCCTCCCTGCACCCCTCCTGGCGTCTGCTCCACCCACTGACCTCGCCGCTCCGGTTCCTCCATTCCTGGCCCCTTCGCTGCGGCCCCCCGGCGCCGACGGCGTGTTCTGCGTCCGCGCCGCGCGGGCTGCCGGTATTTCCGCGCCGAGACCCCAGACCCCAGAACCCAGACCCCAGCGTCACCAGTTCACCTTGATCGCCGCTCGGCCTCCGAGGCCTTGCGCAGCCGGCACCACCCCGCATTCTTATCGAGCCGTGTCTCTGGCGTGCCAGCCCGCTCCACTGACCCTGGCCGGTCCCCAGAAGTCTGCGGGTCTCCGGCTGACCTGGAGCAGCCCCAGGGCTTCCGGACCTTGGCCAAACTACGAGGGGACTCTTAGGGTACGGCCAGGACTGGGCGCAGGACTTTCGTAAGTTAGGATCAATCGTTTGTCGAATGCTGCATGCACAAGAGACTGGGCCTACGAAACGGGCGTCCTAAGAATCTGCAATGACCCGTGTTGACCCCGTGTGACCTTTTGAGTCGATGGTCGCAACATTTGTCTGGGGCCTTAGTTGTGGCCATCAACCACTGTGTTCGAGAGGGTCACTTTGAAGTCCATCGATATGGTACGGACGCCTGGTGTAGTTTGCCTTACAAGAAGCCTGGAACAGCATCATGCAGATCTCATTAGGCCATGATAACGGAACGTGATGGGAACAGCACGAGTCATGCATCACCAACGGGCTCATTAATGGATTAAACCTTGCAGCGCTGAGATGGCTGCATTTAGATAAGGGCTCGCTTGGCAAAATGGAACAGACATGCCTAAGTAGGATATCCTTGGCGTAGATTGGACGTACGCTGGTCAGACGAATCACTGACAAGCAAATCAACGGGTTAGTGCTCTGGAAATAAGCAGCATAGAAGTGTAGAAGTGTGAAAGACGATTGGTGACAACTGTTTACTTAAACCAAACGGAGAGCGCCAGGGAATAGAGCGCCTTGCCCCAGCATTTTGCTTCGAGCTTAGTTTCCTCTCGTGCTATTCTTCATCTCGGCGCCTCCGCCCTGGCCAGACTCGGCTGTCCCGCCCATGGCGCCGAAAGCTGACCGCATTTCCTCCCACGTCCCGCCAACACACCTCCCAGATAAGGGCCGAGAGGCCGGGCGGCGCAGACGGCCAAGGCCACACCCGTCCCGGCGCCCGTGTCCACCCGGCGGCGAACGAGACGCGGCCGGCAGCGAACGGGACGCGGCCGGCAACGAACGAGACGCGGCCGGCGTGGGCGCGGCGGCGCGCGGCGCGGGTTCCGCCGCGGCGACCACCCGTGAAGTCCTGCCGGGTGAACGGACTGAGAAGTCGCCCCGACCGCTCACTGGAAACTCCGGCGGGGCGGTCGCCACGGGTTTTGTTGGCTTGCAGCCTGGTGTGCAGACTTTGGGCTTAGATTCTCACCTTTGACCTCACCAGCAAGCATGGATGCCTTGAAACGAGGTGGTGTGAGCAGCTCTGAGAGGCAAAAGAACGATACGAATTGCCAGTCGTCCGGGCCACTTTTCGTATACAAAATTAGGTTTGAAAGACCCAAGACAGCACAACTGATATCAGCGACAGTCCAAAATCTCGCGACGAGTTTCCCGTCTGGCCATCAGAGTCAGACGCGGAACAGTGGCGTGGTATTCAAAGAGGTGCTGACCCTAGACATATGGGGGCTATGAAAGACCTGAACACTGAACGAACACACAACCAAGTGAATGTGTGCACATTGTGGGAAACGATCGCTTGCTTCGTCGTGAGTTACCGAGTAGGCACTTCAGTCGGTACAGCACCAGCCACCACCTGCACCGGTTCGTCTGGCTGGTCGTCCACTTCTCGTCAATCGCAGGCCTGATTCACAACAGCGGGTGGAGTGGCAGGAAGCAGGCCGCGGTCACGTGTAACCCAGGCCCCGCTGCCAATTTGGGAGCTGAACACCAGCGGGGCACCTATGATTGCCAGTCAGCTGTTCGGCAGGCTCAGACATCCTTGACGGCGCGCTGCTGAGCCGCGCCTTCATCCTTGATGATAAGCGCGGACGTGATGGGCTCGGCCATGTACAGGGCAGACAATGGGCAGGGCCGCGCCGGATCGGCTACTTATACGCGACCTCAACCCTTCATTGCAATCTATACACCCGGTGATGAATGCTAATTGATTCGGTAGGCGCCGCAATGCGGGCAGGGTGCTTTAAATACATGCCAGTGACAACTGAGGTAATTGTTCTCTTCTCTTTCCAAACATTTATACTGCAATGGCGCACGAAGATACATAGACATTTACTGGACTGATATCTCTTGATCTTACTGAGAGCTACATGTTATCCTCACCGCAATCTCGAACGAAGACTACCTCAGTGCATCGATTGCGTCACATAATTCATACAGGTAATGGGTCTGTAATGCTTTATGCCGCTCGTGCACTAAGCGATCACGATGCGCTTGTTCCCAATCAAGTCACACATTTCGGCACATTTCCTTTGTACTCGCATATCAGCAAAGATGCCGTCAGATAAAGTCCAATGAAATCAGGTATAATTTGTTCATCACCGCAATGCCAGTCTCGTCATATAGTCAAATGAAGCATCAAAAGCAACCAACACCGAACTGATCACTCTTGTCGCACTCATTTTCTAATCGCGGATCATCTCATCATGCATTGATGGTTATACGAAAAGAGTCATTATCCGGTGCTCAGGCTCTCAAGACCATCAAACCATTGGCTTTTAAATTGTGCACACAATGTTCAGTCACTGATCAACTGATCACTAAAGCTGATCACATTGATAAAACTGAACACCATTATGATGCCTTTTGGTGACCTTCGACTTAAGATTGCGGCGTATCCTATGTCTCCTGCACATTCATACAGTCGGTCTTCTTTCTCTATCCTCTACATATTCGCACCTACCGTCTATAAACCTATGCCTAGTGTCAACAACATACTAGTCACGAATGTCCTGTCGGCCACGTCTCACAGACTCTGCTGCTTCTGAGTTGTACGGAAGTGACCGGTCGGTCACTTAGCCTCAAATTCACTGGCTGTCGTCTCCCGCAGACTCTGGGGCTGCTGAGCTGTCTGTCGGTGGCCGGGTGGGCACAGATCCACTGGCTGTCGTCTCCCGCAGACTCTGGCGCTGCTGAGCTGTCTGTCGGTGGCCGGGTGGGCACAGATCCACTGGCTGTCGTCTCCCGCAGACTCTGGCGCTGCTGAGCTGTCTGTCGGTGGCCGGGTGGGCACAGACCCACTGGCTGTCGTCCCCCGCAGACTCTGGCGCTGCTGAGCCTGTCTGTCGGTGGCCGGGTGGGCACAGACCCACTGGCTGCCGTCTCCCGCAGACTCTGACGCTGTTGAACTGTCTGGCGGTGGCCGCGTGGGCACAGACTCACTGGCTGTCGTCTCCCGCAGACTCTGACGCTGCTGAGCTGTCTGGCGGTGGCCGGGTGGGCGCGGCCGCAGGCGCCCGTGGCGCGGCTCGGTGCGCCGCTCGCCTACAGCTACAGCTACTCGGCGCCGCAGCAGAGCCGGCAGGAGGAGCGTGACGTGCTGGGTAACGTGCACGGCTCGTACAGCGTGCGCTACTCGGGCGGTGGACAGCTCACGCACACCTACTCGTTCCCCAACCGGCTGCCGGTGTTCCGCACCACGCAAGAGGGCCCGCTCGGGCCCGTCGGCACGCTCGTCTCGTTGCGGGTACGTAACAAGCGCGCGCTGCTCCCCCACGCCGACTCACGTGGATCGGCCGGCGTCACGCTCACATCGGTCCCGAACCATCGACTCCTGAGGCAGTGGGAGTGACGTCCAGGGCCATTCCACCCGTTACTTGCACTGGAATGGCTTTCGGGACGAGTTGCGTGCCCAAGATTGTCTTTCGCGATGTGATCGACCGGCACCGCTGAGAAAAGCGTCACGGCGTGATTTCCCGATCACTGGTCTGGGTACTTTTCGCGCTTTTTCTGCGTGCTCTGTGGCTGCGTTTTACGCTGCTTACGCAGACCTTGCGTTATGGTAAAGCCGGAACGTGCCTGCCGGTGCACTTTGAGTGACTGACTTAGGTCAGTTCCTCGGAAGGCTGTAAATATGAACACACCAAACTGGGACTAGGCCGGTTAATGGAAATGGCCCGACAAATGCCAAACGACATACATAACACGACAAGCAGACAGAGATGCAAACAGACAAACAGACAGACAGACAGACGGACAGACAGACAGACAGACAGACAGACAGACAGACAGACAGACAGACAGACAGACAGACAGACATACATACATACATACATACAGACAGACAGACAGAGGGGCAGACAGACAGACAGACAGACAGACAGACAGACGGACAGACAGACGGACAGACAGACGGACAGACAGATAGACAGACAGACAGGCATGAGTGTGGGGACGGCGACTGACCACCACAAATGAGGCTGGGGGTGGCCACCGGAGAGGTGAATTCAGGCTCGGTCTGGGACGTCTGTGCTCACGACACGGCCCGCTCCACCGTTCCAGAACCCCAAGGACAGAGTGTTCCTGATCGAGATGCTGGCGCAGCAGCAGGACACGCGAGCGCCGTCGATCCTGACCAAGACGGATGCAGTGCTGACGAATGCGCTGCCCGTGTTCGTGAACAGCAAAGTGTCGGCGGCGCTGATCGATCTGCGCCTGGAGAGCGAGGCTGCCGGCGACGTGCGGCAGGAGCTTCAGCTTCGAGATCCCGGCGACGCCATCGTGGTGGAGGCGGCGCCGGAGCCGACGGCCGAGGACGGCAGCCGCACGCCCGTCTTCGTCAACAGCAAGGAGTCGTCGGCGCTGCGCGTGTTCCGGGTGCAGAGTCTGCGCGACGGTCTGACGGGTCGCGCGCCGCCGCTGGTCGGTCCAGAGGAGATCATCGTGGAGGCGGCCAGCAGTTCATAGGCACCGCCAGGTGCGAGGGAGGGGAGGCATTCGCTCCATGGGCGGCGCCAGCGTGTGTTTGACGGGAGGGAAAATCAGAGTCTTATAGACGGAGTTATGTTCGTGTGTGCGCAAGATGTGGGGCGGGTGGAGTGCAGAGCATCAGAGTCGGTCTTGGCACCGGCAGCAGCCTTTTAGGCTGAGGACGTTTGTGGGTACGACGACCAGCCGCGCAGAGGCGATGCTAAGGCATGAGTGCGGGGGCGGTGACTGACCACCACACATGAGGCTGGAGGAGGCTACCGGAGAGGAGAATTCATGCTCGGTGTAAGATGCAGGGGCAGCGTTTACAGAGACGATGTCATGGCCGGCCCCGTTCAATGCATGCATGTGGTCTCCCCCATAAAGAGACGACTTCTCTTGGTACCGACACCGTCGGTCACCGGTGACGTCATCACCGGCTGGAGTGGTGGAAGACCGATTAGAAACGCGTGCCCCGAGGTTAGACCATACCACTGACGTCACAGAAAGCAGCGCCAGTCCCGGGCATTTGCCTCTGCTGTTCATCCGTTCTGTAAGACAAACGTGTGACGTTCAATTACTTTGCCTGCTTTTGCTGTGGATGACCGGTCCCCCCCAAAAGCAGCTAAACCACATATTAGGGGCAATTACTAGTATTTGCGCAATATCAAGAATAGCATAAGGTCTGGCACTATTCAGTGTGGTAACAAAACGTTGCCAGTACTCGGTCAGGTCGCAGGAACATTTTTTCGGAACTAGAAGCCCCCCACCGTCCTAAAATTGTGAAAAAGTTGGTGCCGTGGCGACCTAACGTTGAAAAAATGTACGGATCCCATCGTACTGAGTCACATTGATCTGGGTAGGAGCCAGTATTTCCACGAGACTTTGCGCGGCGTTTGCGTAGTGGGTGAGCTATACTTACCATCGTTTTCACCGGTATAATGTCACGCACTCCACTGATCGCGCAGCTTGCAGCATTGCAAGGATTGATCGCCTGATCAATGCTCACACACGCCTCGCCCTCAACCATATTTTACAGTCTCACCTTACCACTACACACATCAGGCATTTCCAAGGAAAGTCTTCACCTAATTTCTTCCTTTACGCGGGGCAGCGACATCTTCATTTGAACTACGTCCGAAAATACTGACGGCAGCTTCCTCCGTCCCGTAGTCAGTTAGCTGTGTTAAGGATAGCTTCTTCCGATGGCACTACGCCTTAGCTTATTAGTTGAGTTACCACTTGATTAAGACATTTGTATCGTAGAACGTAGTGAGGTGGTAGAATACAGGCGAATCCTGCTCGGCTATCACATGCCTGAAAAATGAATTTTGATGGCCAAAACAAAGATAGGACAGGTCGACTATGAATACCATTGAGGGGAAATTTCGGTACAAAGGCGGTCGAAACGTATTTCAAATTGCAAAAATGGCTTTATGCATACTCTAGTATGTATCCTATGCATACCATTGTGGGATAATTTTGGTGACAAAGGCAGTCAAAACTTATTTCGAAATGTAAACTGGCTTTCAAATGTGCACCTTATGTTACCATTTCCACCACCCCCTGCATGTGCATTCTCAAGGTTACCACAATATCCCATGTGAGGGGCAGAGTGATGGGTTTGTGATGCACGATTCATGAGGATCTAGATTTTTACGTGCTGAGTTGGCGTGCAGGTTTCATGCGATGACACAAATGGCACGGCCACAACTAAAAAAACAACAAAAAAACTGGAGCCACGGTCTGCGGAAACACGTATGTCCCAAACATGCTGGGGCAGCAAGCTATGGAAATCAACGTTCAGGCGTGGAAAATCACGATCGAAACCCGGTACTCCTGATAATGTTCGGCGAACTGGGACCATTTTGGGATCCATAAGCGACATTTGCATCGTATACTCATTTACTATATTTCAGCGCAAAAATGACAAAGTCAAACGCCGTTAAATGCAAAAACACACCACAATTAAGAGCGGAGCGCACCATCAAATTGCTCTCTCACATTCCATGACGATCTATGAACGCCAGGACAGTTTATGGAAATCGGCGTCTTAGTTCGTGTCGTAAGATTGCCTTTTCCTGTGGGAAACTTCCATGATCAGGCTAGGTCACGCTCATGACTGCGTTAAATGTACCTGTGCGTGACTCGACAATTAATGTGGTGTCCATTCCTTAAATATACGCCGCTCTAAAGTGCACCTTTGGAATCTGAGCGCCGACAGGCGGACCCTTCTCTGCGCGGCTATGCGACGGATGCCTGGCCGCCGGCGGCGGGGACGAGGCCTGGCGCACGCCACCGCCGCCGCGCCCACCGCCGACGGTGCGGGGCGCAGGGGCAGCGTATGAACCAACGGGCTGAAAGCTTAGGCAACGGCCAGGCGAGCCCACAGCGGGCGCGGCACCGCTCTGGGGCAGCGTGTGGACGTCAGGCACAGTCGGCCGTAGAGCCCACGTCCAGGTGCAAATAGTACAAGGAAATAGTAAGGCGGACACTGCGAACGCTGAGCTGTGCCTTGACCGCACGAGAGCCCGAGAGCAACGCCAGCTACGTGGTAACACGGGTGGTCTGTACGGTCCCATGCCGTCCAGCCGGCGCGCCTGACCGCTGGCGATGTCATCTGGATGCTGCTCCAAGTGTTTCACGAGGGTGGCTGCCTGGCCGAAGCCCACTCCTCTTAACACAGACCAGTGTCATACACAGGAAGAGTGGTGCCGGATGGGTCACCTGACCATCTGCTTTTGACACAGACCAGTGTCACACACAGGGAGAGTGGTGTCGGATGGGTCACCTGACCATCTGCTCTTGACACAGACCAGTGTCATACGCAGGGAGAGTGGTGTAGGATGGGTCACCTGACCATCTGCTCTTGACACAGACCAGTGTCATACGCAGGGAGAGTGGTGTAGGATGGGTCACCTGACCATCTGCTCTTGGCACAGGCCAGTGTCATACGCAGGGAGAGTGGTGTAGGATGGGTCACCTGACCATCTGCTCTTGACACAGGCCAGTGTCACACACGGGGAGAGTGGTGTCGGTATGGGTCACTGACCATCTGCTCTTGACACAGACCAGTGTCATACGCAGG